GGCCCAGCGGGCCTGTATCGCTCACCTGGATACCTAAGCAATCATGGCAAAATATTCTCCAAATGAGATCAAGGATATATGCCAGACTCCAAGTCCAATCCTTGTAGCATAACTATATTAGATTTTTCATGCCCAGCAATTTTATGTATGGTTATGGGGTGGGGATCTCAACTGTTTCCAAGCTTTGACTCAGTAACTAGGTCCCTAGAGTTGTGGCCAGACCCCAGGATCGATTCTAATATCGTGACCGCATTTGTCTCTTTTTGCCCAGCATTTGTATATATAGTTTTGGGGTGGGGATCTCAACCGTTTCAAAGTTATGACCCAGGGGCCAAGTCTGCAAGGGTGGGGCAGACCCTGGGATCAATTCTAATATCATGACTGCATTCGTCTCTTTATGCCCAACAATTGTATATATAGTTTTGGGGTGGGGNTGCAATCATCTCTTTATACTCAGCAATTGTATATATACGGTTATAGGGTGGGGCTCTCAACTGTTTCCAAGCTGTGACTAAGAAACTAGGTCCCTAGGGGTTCGGTCAGACCCCAGGGTCTATTCTGATATCATGATTGCATTCGTCTCTTTATGCCCAGCATTTGTATATACAGTTTTGGGGTGGGGATCTCAACCGTTTTAAAGTTATGGCCCAGGGACTATGTCTCCAAGGGTGGGGCCAGACCCTAGGGACATCCTGGAAGCAAATGTGCATTATTCTCTTTATACTCAGCAATTATATATATGGTTATATGGTGGGGATCTCAACCATTTCCAAGTAATACATTTTATTGGCCCCACCCCTTAAGCCCGGGGGTTCAGCCCCACCATTTGTACAATTTTAAATCCCTGCCTCCCAGGAATGCTTTTGATCAAATATGATTGATATCCAGTGCACAGTTCTACAGAAGAAATCGTTTATAGCAATATAGCAATTATGCCCCGCCCCTAAGCCCCCTGGGGAGTAAGCCCCACCATTTGTACAACTTTTAATCCCCACCACCTAGGGATGCTTCCAGTCAAATATGGTTGATATCCACTTCTTAGTTCCAGAGAAGAAGTCGCTTAAAGCAGTATAGCCAAATACTATTTTTGGCCCTCCCCCTCGGTTCCCTGGGGGGTCAGCCACTCATTTGTACAATTTTAAATCCCTGCCCCCCAGGAATACTTTTGATCAAATATGATTGATATCCTGTGCACAGGTCTACAGAAGAAGTCGTTTGTAGCAATACAGCCAAATTGCCCCCTTTTGGCCCCACCCCTAAGCCCCCTGGGGAGTCAACCTCACCATTTGTACAATTTTTAATCACCACCACCTAGGGATGCTTCCAGTCAAATATGGTTGATATCCCCTCCTTAGTTCCAGAGAAGAAGTCGCTTAAAGCAATATGGCCAAATTGACCCCTTTTGGCCCCGCCCCTCAGCCCCACCATTTGTACAATTTTGAATCCCCACCACCTAGGGATGCTTCCAGTCAAATTTTGTTTAATTCCAACCAGTGGTTAAGAAGAAGAAGTTGTTTAAAGAAATTGTTGACATACGGACGTACGACGGACGGACGCCGGACGCCACGGTATGGCATAAGCTCACCTTGGTCCTTCTGACCAGGTGAGCTAATAAACCAAATAATAAGATACATTTCCTAACAATCTGGTTTACTATTTCCAACTCACAGCACATTTAACCTATTAAAAATTATGATTAATAAACTCTTAACAAAGACAATCACAAGTTAGATACATGCAACAAGAAATTGACCTTTGACTCTGTGCGATGATCTTGACCTCTGACGTTAAAGCATACTATTTGTAAGTAAACACAGCTTCATGTCATAATCTATAAAAACATGACTGATTTATAACAAGAGGCCCAGAGGGCCTGTATCACTCAACTGGATAACTGCAATATCATGGGTTAAATGTTCTGAATAAAAGTAATTTTGCAAATATTTCCATATATTGAGTCTCAGACTTGGCTTTAGAATGTTCCAGACTAAATGAAACTTTATACTACTATATCGCAGCATGCTACTGATCAAATGTCATCACTCAGGGCGTCCTGGTAATGCCAAAGAAGCAGTTTCAAGTTTTTTCTTACATATTTAATCCCTTTGAACTAAGAAGTAGGTGAGAGTAATGTTTTTAGGAAAGTTTATAGCACTCCATATCAGGTACCTACTTGCCAAAAATCATTGCTCTAGGCCTTTTGGTTATTCAGAAGAAGTTGTTTAAACGTTTTTAACACATTTGATATTTGTGATCTTGAAAGTAGGTCGCGGACATTTATTTTAAGAAAGTTTAATGCACTTCATGCCAGGTAATTACTGGCCCAGTATCATCACTCTGGGCCTCCTGGTTTTTCAGTAGAAGTTGTTTCAAGGTTTGTACATATTTGACCCCTGTGACCTTGAAAGTAAGTCAAGTTATTTGTATGTCAGACTTTTTATCAATTTGTCCCAGGTACCTACTGGTCAAATATCGTTCAAAGAAAAAGTTGACGGATGACAGACAGTCAATGGACAACACACCAAATTAAATATTTCAAATCCTTCTCAAAATTAGGCAAGACACGTGTACAATAACACATAGAAAGGGAAGGAACTATTTAGAATAAAAGAATCTGTCATATTTTTGTTGAAGTTATAGATATTCGTAGCCCAAAGTTTTAAGAATTGTAGCAATAGGACAGATTTACTATGTCATAACTCTCAGGGTATATAGACAATGCACAGATTTACTATGTCATAACCCTCAGGGTATATAGACAATGTATAGATTTACTATGTCATAACTCTCCGGGTATATAGACAATGTACAGATTTTCTATGTCATAACTCTCAGGGTTTATAGAAAATGTACAGATTTACTATGTCATGACTCTCAGGGTATATATACAATTTACAGTTTTACTATGTCATAACTCTAAGGGTATATATACAATGTACAGTTTTACTATGGCATAACTCTCAGGGTATATAGACAAGGTACAGATTTACTATGTCATAACTCTCAGTGTATATAGACAATGTACAGTTTTACTATGTCATGACTCTCAGGGTATATATACAATGTACAGTTTTACTCTGTCATAACTCTCAGGGTATATAGCCAATGTACAGATTTACTATGTCATAGCTCTCAGGGTATATATACAATGTACAGTTTTACTCTGTCATAACTCTCAGGGTATATATACAATTTACAGTTTTACTATGTCATAACGCTCAGGGTATATAGACAATGTCCAGATTTACTATGTCATAACTCTCAGTGTATATAGACAATGTACAGTTTTACTATGTCATACCTCTCAGGGTATATAGACAATGCACAGATTTACTATGTCATAACTCTCAGTGTATATAGACAATGTACAGTTTTACTATGGCATAACTCTCAGGGTATATAGCCAATGTACAGATTTACTACGTCATAACTCTCATGGTATATAGACAATGTACAGATTTACGATGTCATAACTCTCAGGGTATATAGACAAGGTACAGATTTACTATGTCATAACTCTCAGTGTATATAGACAATGTACAGTTTTACTATGTCATGACTCTCAGGGTATATAGACAATGTATAGATTTACTATGTCATAACTCTCCGGGTATATAGACAATGTACAGATTTTCTATGTCATAACTCTCAGGGTCTATAGACAATGTACAGTTTTACTATGTCATACCTCTCAGGGTATATAGACAATGTACATATTTACTATGTCATAACTCTCAGGGTTTATAGAAAATGTACAGATTTACTATGTCATAACCCTCAGGGTATATAGACAATGTCCAGATTTACTATGTCATAACTCTCCGGGTATATAGACAATGTACAGATTTTCTATGTCATAACTCTCAGGGTTTATAGAAAATGTACAGATTTACTATGTCATAACTCTCAGGGTATATAAACAATGTGCAGTTTTACTACATCATAACTCTCAGGGTATATATACAATGTACAGTTTTACTATGTCATGACTCTCGGTGTATATAGACAATGTACAGATTTACTATGTCATACTCTCAGGGTATATAGACAATGTACAGATTTGCTATGTCATAACTCTCAGGGTATATAGACAATGAACAGATTTACTATGTCATAACTCTCAGGGTAGATAGACAATGTACAGTTTTACTATGTCATAACTCTCAGTGTATATAGACAATGTACAGTTTTACTATGTCATGTCTCTCGGAGTATATAGACAATGTACAGATTTACTATGTCATAACTCTCAGGGTATATAGACAATGTACAGTTTTACTATGTCATGACTCTCGGAGTATATAGACAATGTACAGATTTACTATGTCATAACTCTCAGGGTATATAGACAATGTACAGTTTTACTACGTCATGACTCTCGGAGTATATAGACAATGTACAGATTTACTATGTCATAACTCTCAGGGTATATAGACAATGTATAGATTTACTAAGTCATAACTCTCAGGGTATATAGACAATGTACAGTTTTACTATGTCATAACTCTCAGGGTATATAGACAATGTATAGATTTACTATGTCATGACTCTCAGGGTATATAGACAATGTATAGATTTACTATGTCATAACTCTCAGGGTATATAGACAATGTACATTGCATGTACATTGCATGAATAAGGTATGTTCAATACAGTAGGACCAGGTACAGCACATTTCCAGTTCAACCAATCAGAAATTTAGTAGGAAATCGACAAGGCTTTTTAATGACCATGTCTAGCACTGTTTTTCAGACAAAAAGATTTCCTATGAAGTGATCTACAATGATAATATACATGTCTTTAAATCCTACTTTGTATGGTTGGAGATTATGTAGTAAATTGAGATACTGCTGCAAAATGGCAGAAGTATGACACAAAATTCTGGCTGAGAAATAAGCATGCAAAATATATAATCCAAATCCATTCTAAGCAATGGCACATAAAATGACACTTTTATTTAAGGGTTCTCGATAAGTAAAACTTCTTTTCATAGAAATTTCCCTCAAAGTATACCCAGCAATGAATGCACAGGAAATAAGCAAAAAAGAATTGGTCTTTAGCCTTTAGTTGTTAAGTCATTACCTTATGTCAATAATTCAATAAGTGATTTCCTGCCAGGACAGACAAGACAATGTACGTACCAGCCAGTCGACAGTGTCCCGAAGCTCCCGCCGCCGGTACCCATGCTCAGCGTGGGTAGGATGTAAATAATTGGCTGCATGGTTCAATGCATTTTTGGAAATAGCTTTCCTGCAAGATAAAAAGATAAAACAAAAATTAGCTTAACAAACAAAATATACCTGTATTTTATCCCAGAAAAATAGTATTATCTGCTGCCTTGCCACTTTGATGGGAAAGTTAATTAATAATTTAAACTATTGCCCTTAGGGAAAGTCACTCATAAAATAATAATCCTTATAACCATTTCTACAGCAAATCAATATTAGTAAGAGTTCTCTGCCATTGTAAAGAATGGTTGATGATTCTGTTGTACACCTGTTTATTGCTTGTTCAGTCTACCTGATACTGGTGTATTTGGCCTCCCACAGTTTCTATACTAGAACCTTCTAGGTTTGCTATTGTTTACTCTTGACTGGCTACTGTAAAGTGGTATGGTGCACTTGGTCCTGTTTTAAATTGGTATGGTGCACTTGGTCCTGTTTTAAAGTTGTATGGTGAACTTGGTCCTGTGTTAAAGAGGTATGGTGCACTTGGTCCTGTTTTAAACAAGTATGGTGCACTTGGTCCTGTGTTAAACAAGTATGGTGAACTTGGTCCTGTTTTAAATTGGTATGGTGCACTTGGTCCTGTTTTAAAGTTGTTTGGTGAACTTGGTCCTGTGTTAAAGAGGTATGGTGCACTTGGTCCTGTTTTAAACAAGTATGGTGCACTTGGTCCTGTTTTAAACAAGTATGGTGAACTTGGTCCTGTTTTAAACAAGTATATTGCACCGTTGATTTTCAGACGAGGGTCAAAATCGAATCCAACCAGGTCATTGTTACTACTGGTATAGGTAGGTGTAGGAAGTTATATTTTTTCCTTCAAGAGTTGTTGTACCACTATAACCATTTGGGCAGACAACCCTGCTGACAGAGGGATCTCTGTTATTATGCCGTATCTGCTTTCCAGGTGACACAAAAAGCTAAGGCAAAGAGCCTGTTGTGTAATACCAAGATTGCAAGTTTGAGCCTAGCTAGTCCTCCTGTAATTATTTTTTAACAATTTATTGCTATATTTACATATCTATTAGTCCTCCTGTAATTATTTTTAAATAATTCAGTGTTATATTTACATGTATGTTTATTAATGTTTTAATTTATAGGTTATTAACAACTCAATTGAAGTTGCATGCATTATCGTTTTTTCTTATCTAACTTTTGACAACTTGATAATGTACAAATATTTGATTCCAGAATGAATACCCTGGTATTACATTGGCAACAATTATTAATACTGTCTCTGACCTAATAAGCTCAGTGTGCTTACAAAAACACAAGAGGGATGCACTTATTAAATCGGCCAAAACCAATCGTTTGTCGATATGTGTGCAAAATGGTTGAAACCTGCCTCCAAGACTTGTTTTTAGTTGCTATCTTGTTGCTACGGAAGTGAGTCATGAATCTGCGAGATCTTCCTGTTTGAAATGGATGCTTACTGGTTATTTTACAGTGTAAAATAACATTGTGGGAATTTTTCTCACACAAAGGTGACCGTCAACATGATCACTGAAAAACAATGAGGGACAGCGACAGACATGATAGATTTTGAATAGACAGATTTGTTGGATAATTAAGTGAGTGATAAAGTAAACGATCATGTTTTGATTCATTTGGACTCAAAACTTTTGTGCAATCTTTCAAGGTCTTTACACAGACAATTGGCCTAACATTGAATCAGAAAAGCTAGACCACTTGCTCTTATTGCCACACCACAGGGCCAAAGTCCTTCGGTCAAAAGACTTAAAATTGGTAGATCAGTGAATTAAGCAACCTTTTTACAAATGTTAATTAAGCACACCCATCCTCCTTCCCTGAAAAAAAAGTGCTTTTATAGGGGCAGGTGCACTTATTAGGTCAAATACGGTATGCCAAGCAAGTTAAACAGGTATATTACAATACACTGAATAAGTCACATCTTATTTCTCTGCTGGTTACATGTAACACTTTAAAGATATTTATAAAAAGCATGTCTGAATTTTCAGGCTTTAGTAAAATGGAGAAGTTCATGGTATCAAATGTCACCCATTTCAACAAGGTTAGATTTAACTTGACTCTCCTCGTGGAACGATTCGTGGAACGATTCGGGCATTTCTGTTGATATTTGTGGGATTCAACTTTTGAGGAAAAAACTGTTACAACAAACAGCACAAAATTGATCTGAAAATAGACATCGACATTATATATTACTTTATATCATGTTATTGTTTTTCTCCTATTAAAAACAAGTAAACCATACCACAGTGAAAGCCGTCATGTACTATTTGTAGACATGGAGTCAGTGCTCTATGGGCAATAGCAGCCATTCCTGTGAAATTTCTGCCACGTTTTTAATGAATTCAAGAACTTTTAAATAGAAATCCTACATAGATCTTATAAACTTTGCCTGTGTTTAACATGTAATGTAAACACGATCTGGTCAGGTATACCAAGTCACCTGCCAGGGCAGTTTTATTGTGTAGAGGCTTACCACTTAGTATGCACTGATGATAGATTCACAAATGAATTGTACCTAACTACCCTGAGTCTCTTGTACTCACCCCTAAGGATGGTACACAGACTAACTCCTCTGAGTTACTTGTACTCAGCCTTAAGGATGGTTCACAGACTAACTACCCTGAGTCTCTTGTACTCAGCCTTAAGGATGGTTCACAGAATAACTACCCTGAGTCTCTTGTACTCAGCCTTAAGGATGGTTCACAGACTAACTACATTGAGTCTCTTGTACTCACCCCTAAGGATGGTACACAGACTAACTCCCCTGAGTTACTTGTACTCAGCCTTAAGGATGGTTCACAGACTAACTACCCTGAGTCTCTTGTACTCAGCCTTAAGGATGGTTCACAGACTAACTACCCTGAGTCTCTTGTACTCAGCCTTAAGGATGGTTCACAGACTAACTACCCTGAGTCTCTTGTACTCAGCCTTAAGGATGGTTCACAGACTAACTACCCTGAGTCTCTTGTACTCAGCCTTAAGGATGGTTCACAGACTAACTACCCTGAGTCTCTTGTACTCAGCCTTAAGGATGGTTCACAGACTAACTACCCTGAGTCTCTTGTACTCAGCCTTAAGGATGGTTCACAGACTAACTACCCTGAGTCTCTTGTACTCAGCCTTAAGGATGGTTCACAGACTAACTACCCTGAGTCTCTTGTACTCAGCCTTAAGGATGGTTCACAGACTAACTACCCTGAGTCTCTTGTACTCAGCCTTAAGGATGGTTCACAGACTAACTACCCTGAGTCTCTTGTACTCAGCCTTAAGGATGGTTCACAGACTAACTACCCTGAGTCTCTTGTACTCAGCCTTAAGGATGGTTCACAGACTAACTACCCTGAGTCTCTTGTACTCAGCCTTAAGGATGGTTCACAGACTAACTACCCTGAGTCTCTTGTACTCAGCCTTAAGGATGGTTCACAGACTAACTACCCTGAGTCTCTTGTACTCAGCCTTAAGGATGGTTCACAGACTAACTACCCTGAGTCTCTTGTACTCAGCCTTAAGGATGGTTCACAGACTAACTACCCTGAGTCTCTTGTACTCAGCCTTAAGGATGGTTCACAGACTAACTACCCTGAGTCTCTTGTACTCAGCCTTAAGGATGGTTCACAGACTAACTACCCTGAGTCTCTTGTACTCAGCCTTAAGGATGGTTCACAGACTAACTACCCTGAGTCTCTTGTACTCAGCCTTAAGGATGGTTCACAGACTAACTACCCTGAGTCTCTTGTACTCAGCCTTAAGGATGGTTCACAGACTAACTACCCTGAGTCTCTTGTACTCAGCCTTAAGGATGGTTCACAGACTAACTACCCTGAGTCTCTTGTACTCAGCCTTAAGGATGGTTCACAGACTAACTACCCTGAGTCTCTTGTACTCAGCCTTAAGGATGGTTCACAGACTAACTACCCTGAGTCTCTTGTACTCAGCCTTAAGGATGGTTCACAGACTAACTACCCTGAGTCTCTTGTACTCAGCCTTAAGGATGGTTCACAGACTAACTACCCTGAGTCTCTTGTACTCAGCCTTAAGGATGGTTCACAGACTAACTACCCTGAGTCTCTTGTACTCAGCCTTAAGGATGGTTCACAGACTAACTACCTTGAGTCTCTTGTACTCACCCCTAAGGATGGTACACAGACTAACTCCCCTGAGTTACTTGTAATCAGCCCTAAGGATGGTACACAGGCTTACTACTTTTCACTCTCTTTAAGTCACCCTTAAAGATGGTTTGTAGATTAACTATACTTTGACCAGTGTGTCCCTTTGTTTTTTACATCTGGCCGTTGTACAAAACCCATTAAAGAACACTTATGTAGAATATTGGAAAACGCGTCTGGCCTGGTGGGACGGAGGTCATTTTGTAGAGTGTAATAATACCCTTTAGGCCTCCAGCTCATTAGGTATCATAGCACTAGGCTATATACTTTATGGCCAATTATACATAATATGTTACTGAATATAGATCAGCTGATGACAGAGAGGCAGATACTACCACACCTCTCTGCCAGCTCACGCTTCACCTTAAACAACACCATGACCCCAAATCACTCATCTATTGATTTCTCTCATTACCTCAAGGTTTGTGAAGGTCCCATGTATCAATGACCAATTTCAGATGTAACACTGTCAGGTCACTGTCCATCAGTGTTCTCAGTTATAAAACATAACCTTATACTTTACAGGTAAAATACAACTTCATGAAATAGATCCATATTTTCATGACTTTTCTACAGTGAACTCTGCTCAATATCATATCACAGACCAAGAATCCTCTATATACTCACCCTCACAATATATACTATCTAGACAAGTATCCTCTGTGTACGGACACTCACAACATATACAGACCCTTAAATACTATCTAGACAAGTATCCTCTAGATACCAACACTCATAACATATACAGGTCCTTAAATACTATCTGAACAAGTATCCTCTGTATAACAACACTCACAACATATACAGACCCTTAAATACTATCTAGACAAGTATCCTCTAGATACCAACACTCACAACATATGCAGGTTCT